AGCTAAGCAATTATTACGTGTCTCTCATTACCCTCTCTTTAGCACTGCGCCTCGACTAAGTATCTTGGCGAGTGACGTTTCGAGCTGTTTAAAAAATGAGCCAACTCAATAATGTAGCATATTCAAACCGTGGCCTAGTTTGACCAATACTTCCTGTCGAAAGGAAATGCACGAAAAAGACCGGACAAAAGTGAAGGCACTGTGGCAGGCATTAAAATTTATGCAAACATAGCCGGGACCGACTGTCAATGTCGCGAACGTCAAGAACTACAAAGAGAGAGAGCCCAGACAAATGACAACCAAAACTACGAGAAGTGTCACAACTCTGATCTTGCTGGAACTTAAGGAGGGAGGGTATAGGTGTGTTGCAATGTGTTCGCAAATAAAAGATTCTGTGAACATCAATATGGCTGCTAGACACTGTGACATTGGGAGCTATATCCCCTACAGCGATGCGTGTTTGCCAGCTTTCGAAATAGTGGGCCTGTGGGTCCGGTGCTCCTAATAGTGAAAGACGACTGTGAGATTGGGAGTCGAGGCCAAGAAAAACGATGGGAAGTTTGCTTAAACCGTAAAGTTAATGCTAAAGCAAGGCAACTATACGACCAACTGTGTTAAGTGTTGCATCCGCCTGTACGAAAAACGCCATAGAAAGACGAAGAATTCAAAAAAAGCTTAAAAAGCAGACCGTTTTAAACGTCCCACTTCACCTACCCATAGTTTTGATAATTTTATAGATTTGAACGACAGGTGCGAAAAGTCATTTAATTTCTTTAAACGAAGCTGGCGTACCCGTCCCTCGATGAACGATTGTCTCTGCTGTGGCGAGATCGAGAAAAGGCTTCTTCCATTGCAAGGACAATTTTTTCATCCCATCTATCAAGTAGGATGCTCCTTACTGATCGGCCACTAGACTGCGCCTCTTCCTCAGCTCTGTCATAAGCCCGCCGTAGCCAACTCTCGTTGGTGCTTGTAAGGACGGGCTTGGTGCCGGTGGTGGTAGTGCTAGCGTCATCTTCCGGTAGGCCGGTGCCTCCATCTGCCCAGTAGGGATTTAGTTCAGATACAGTTCGTTGCTTAGTCTGGGCAAAGTCGGCAATAATAAGGAGAGAAAAAACATTGATTACCTCAGGTGCGGACTTGTCCCACTTCGTTCTGGTGGTGGCCACACGTGAAAGTAAAGCATCAAAGGCCAGGGCGTCGTCGGCGTCAGCTGATTTCCCTGACTAAAAAGGCTATAAAAGTTTGATGCTGGGTACGTTACCGCCGCGGGTTGGGAATCCTTCTCAGGCTGCCATTCATAACGCTCTGGGGACTAACGGGGGAAGGATTAAAAACTGAAAGTAAACTTACCGATTCGGATGAACTGGAGTGTTTCTTATGCTTTTTCGATTTTCCCATTTCAGTGTAATCTATGAAAGAATAAAAAATAAACATTCTAAGAATAACATAGAAAAGCATGAAGGAAGAACTGCAAAAGAGTAATACTTACTGGTAATTATCACAAGATTAATCAGATGCTGTGCAGTACTCAAGATCAGGGAAACTCAACTAATGATAGAGAAATACTACAGGATCTATCCATATTGCGTAGTCAGGCGCGCGATTGACGGTTAAAACAGAGGTGACTTTTCATAACATATAAAAGGATAATGGTAGGATTTCATGTAAAAGCTATAAGCTTTGTGTCAAGACGATTCATCAGGGCCAGTTTCTGTCTTTCCATCCATTCTTTGTGAAAGTCATACAGATATAATTATACATGAACTGTATTAACGCAATTTTATGTCTGACCGCAATTCTGACATTTCTCAGAAAATAGACGCGTTTGTATACAAAAAACCTGATCCGCCGATTTGATTTTTGTAAAATTAATTAATAAAGTGGACAAAAGACTAAATTAGTTCATGCTATGACTCTCTGTGTATAAATGCATATATCGGAAGCAGTTGAGACAAGCAGTTGCCTTTTGATTCCTTATCGAT